CGCGTCCAAAATGCTTGGTTTGGGATCCAGATTGTAAAATGCGATGATTGCCCCTTTGTCGAAATGACAAGTCGACTGGACTTTGCCAAGGCTGTTTCAGGTGGTTCGTTTGTCGTTGTACGCATGCTGCGACAAGTTGATCTGCCCTACAATGAAGGATCGAGGCGCGTGTCCGCAAATGCGCCCGCCCGCACAACATTTGTTCTCCACATGCGTACCTCGAGATTGTCACATCAGGCTGTACGTCAGCGTACCGTTCCCAAAACAGAATGTGTAATTCATCGATTTCGTTTGATTTACAGAGTCTTAAAAGTGAGCAATTGAGCAATTGAGTTTCCGGCAATAGGACGGCATCGAAATATATAATGCAGGAGCACGAAAGTCAGGGTGTAATATAGCGCGAAGACGATTCGGGGTCCAAGCGAGGAATCCAAGAAATTCCCTTGTCTGTCTTCTGAGATGGCTTAGTACTGAGCAGCGCACTCAATACGCTCTCCGACGGTGCCGAAGATGCGGTCCCAAATGCGCGTCTGCTTTCCGTAGTTCTTGCCAGACTTGCCAAATCGGTGGTGAAGATCGTGGTCTTCGACGGCAAGCTCCATGCCGAGGGGGCGGAGCATCAGACCGAGAAGAGGGTGAGGCCAATAAGCGCGGATACCCGAGTGTCCGAGAGCTTCAACGTAGAGCAAGTAGCAGATGGCGTAGTGAATCTCGACGAAGGACATCTTGGGTGTGACGAGAGAGGCGAGGAAGGGAACGATGAAGATCTCGATGCATTCCTGAATGTCGTCGGCCAAGATGGAGAGAATGGGTGTTGGGTGCTTGGTGGCGTGGTGCTGACGGTGGATGAACCACAGACTGTCAAATTCGTGGCAAGATCTGTGGTAGAGGTAGAACCAGTAGTCTAGAGCAACCTCGAATGCCATGATCTTGGGAATAGAATAGATGCTCAAGCCCTCGAACGGGTTCGACATCTCTCCACGCCATGACAAGATGAAGGGACCAAGAGTGCGGAAGACGGTGTAGATGAAGATGGAGCGACCCAGGTGGTTGACGTGCCTGTCGTCGACCATGTCTCGTCCACGGTTGAGCTCGTCGAAAGTACCGTAGGTGGCCATGTACTTGTGCAACCTTCCGATCATGAGGAATGCGAACAGGATGAAAGAGAGATGGTACAAGACCCATCCTGGTGCAAAGTGCAATTTGTGCTCTGTAGTGTCACGGGTAGTGCATCACGGTTCAGCGAGAGGCTGGCGCGGAGTTGGCAATTCATGCGTCACTCACCGGGCACAAGCTTGTTCCATGCCCAGTGAATTACCAGAGGAATCGAGGCAGTGGGGATGATGAAGGCATTCTCACGCCACATGGGTTGGTAAGGAGGCGGGCCGCGCAGCTTCTCGGTCGCCGCTCTCCTTTGGTAAGAGACTTCGGGGCAGAGATCGAGCGAAGCAATGAACTCCCACAGAGTCCAGGTGGCGGGAGGCTTCAGCTGCCATGTACTGCGAGCGTAGGGACAAGCGACGGGACAAAGATGTCAGCGGGAGGCGTTGAGTGGTAGCAGTGCCGAGTGAACGCTCACGTCTTCGGCCTAACACCGTACACCTTGTCAAAGTTCTTGCCCTCTGAGTCCTTGGCAATGGCTGCGTGGCCTGCGCCGCCAGGAGCGGTGGGAGCAGGCTCATCGCAAGCATTGTCTGGGGCCAAAGAGGGTACATTGCTGTCGGTGAGCTTCTGTTCGCCCATGTTGGGTCGACGGGAAGGCGCTTCGCCCATAGCCTTGGGGAATTGCGAAGGATCCGCCATCGTGAAGACGATTATGTTCGCGAAAGTGTATCAAGTGCCTCACGTTGACCTTGCTTGTGAGAGAATGGATGGTAGGGATGCTTCTAAAGCAAGAGCAGGGGAATGCAGCCGTTATGTAGTCGCGCGCCGCGCCCTCTTTGCTGCTTACCTTCATGAGTGAGACGCTAAGGTGGAAAGGGAAATCTGGAGTGTACGAATCGATCAGACATTTAGACGGCAATTCTGCCCAAAGGCAGAGAGGCTCAGACGTCATGCGCATCAGCTCGTGGCAAGAGCCAGCGCGCGGCGGCGCGGGGAAACAGAACTCAAGGGCGAACACCGCGATGCTGCTGGAGTCGAGCTGCTGCATGCGCGACAACAGCTTGGACGCCGTCTTTCGTGATTCATGGGCCTAGGCACTCAGACTGCTGAGCTGGCTGAGCACAAGTCAAAGGTTTTGCACCCGTGGTCCACGCACTGCAAGCCTAAACTCACCTTGATCGCTCGACGAACGACGCTGCCCTGACTCAGCAACAGTCGCAGTCCACAACTACGGCCAAGCGAAGTTTGACGTGCTTACGAGAGCCGCAGCATGGATCTTACGCCGTTGACATCGTCCTGTGGGGGGGCTGAGTTGAGGTCGATTTGAATCACGAATCACGAATCTCATTGCGGAGGCTGGCCGGCCATGCAGAGTTTCGTGCGTCATAGTAGAACGAGCGACCGCGGTGGCTTAATTGGGCACAGAGTCACTGCTGCCGTCGTAGGGCTTGCTGATGATCCTGCCCCCGATCGTCTGGACCAAAAGGTGAACCGGCTTTGCATCCGTCTTGCCACCTGAGCTTGGGCTTGCAGGTCTCATGCAGGCCTCATGCCGAAAGTGCGAGCGACAGCAAGCGAAGCTTCCAGATTCGACCATGCAGACTGCTCCAGAGCTATGAACTCACCACGCTTTTCTACTTGCCTTACCCCGCGACGCACGGCCGCATGAAGCGCTCGCCCGAAGGCCGAGCTGTGGTGATGCAGCAGCAGCAGCACATCGAGAGGCCCGAGAGATGCTTCGCCTGAACATTGAACAAGCGGCAGTAGATCCGTCAACCAATCGAAGATCGAGCGCAGCTTTCAAACAATCATGAATGTGCTCAGCAAGCGCACAGTCGATCCTCTGCTAGCATCGATAACGTGAAAGCGCTGCTCAAAACCGGGTGGCGGTGGCCAGGTCACGTGTCTTCGCCACCGCTTGCTCTGTAACCTTCATCAGGTTATTTTTGATTCCCAATCATCAATCTGAGCAGCGCTCATCTGAGCCCAAGCAATCAAACGGGACCCGCGCAAGCGTTCATCATTGGAGCACGCACGTTGCATTGTAGGATGCTCTCTCATGCTGCGACATTGCTTCTCATTCTACACAACTGTAATAATTAATCACATTGTAATCACTAGCCTCCATCGTCCGCGAATGCGCAGCAAGGTGTTGTCGGTTTCACACCCCTCCCATCTGCGCTACGTGATGTCCACTTATGTACGGGGAGCATGAGGCATGCAATTGGCGGGGCCCCCGCGCTGCAAGTTTATGCGTTTCAGAAAGTCGGCTGTGAACCTCGCTGGACTCGCACTCACGCTGAAATTTAGGCAGATTGAGGCATGCTTCCCCAGCATGCTATCTTCACTTGTCACGCCCAATCACGTCGATAAGGTTGGCGAGGAGGGAAGCAGGAGTACCCGAAGCACAACAACAAGCGCGACCTTGCGTGGATGGCCAAGCCAGGTAAAAAAACAATCACTGCGGCAACGACAGCGGCCATGGCTTCCTAGGCGGTACCTGACAACGTGCAATGCGGTCGCATTCCCTAGGGTGCTGATGAGGAGCACTTGGATGATTCGCTGGGCCTCATCGCTCCATTGCGCACAGACAACAGCAGCCTAAGCTCTAGATCTGACGACAAGAACACGAAGGCTCGCCGCTCACAGTCTGGCGTGTGGCTGCCCGATGCGTGCGCAACGATTCATCGCTTGGTCGAAGCTTTGAGTGTTTGAAAGGCTGATTCGTGCGTAGCGATACGGTCTTTGGTGATCTATAGCAAGGATCAAACCTCAAGACTTGCGCTATCACCTCTGGATGGTGACATCTTGGCGAGCACAGCGATCGCGAGGTGCAGGCGCACAGGCTTATCACACTGCCAAGCTCGCGTGCGCTTCGCTCAGTCTAGCTCGCAACCGTGATCTGCATCCATGGAGCACAAGTCTTGAGGTATTGCAGCCTCATTGCAGGCATCGATGCGCATCCTTCATTGCCAGCTCTGGTTCAACATTTGGCCGCACGCTGCTCTCGACAAGATGGGCGACGAAGTGTAGACAAGGTCAGATCAGGGTATCGACCGTGGTCATTTTGTCAGAAAGTGATTGCCTGTCGCGGCTGCCTCGAGTACATTTCAACGTCAGAGCAGCAGCCGATCGGGCGGACGGATCACGCCCAATGAGTCAAGGCAAAGCTCCAACCTTGCCACCTTCAAGCGAACATCCTCTGCGATCGACAATCTTTCGCCGACCCCCTCTGCTTCGGGTTCTGTCTTGGCGCTCTGCCTCTCGCAGAATGCTCAGATATTGAAGTCTAGCCAAGAGGAGTGGTGCAGTCCGTCCGGTGAATGGCTGAACTTGAGAGGGCCGGAGTAGCTGGCCAAGTGGCTCTTGCTTTTGGCGCCCCTGCCGCTGCTGCGGCCGCCGGTAGTAGACGACTCGAGGCGGGTGCTGGTCGTAGTGGACCAAGATGTGCCATGAGCAGTCTTTGTGGAAGTCTCGCAATGTCGAGATTCGGAGAAGCCGTTTTTGAGCTTGTGCTTATGGTGCTCGCAGTGGCTGGCGGGTTGTCTGTTGAAGAGCGCATCGACCTTGTCCATCGCTTGCTCTCGAAGATCTGCATATGAGCACGACGGGAGCAATGTCAGCAACGAGCTGGAAGGTTACATCAAAGAGGAGACCGCTAGCATCGTTCAGGTCTCTCTGCCTAGACCCAATTGCACTCACAGCCGAAGCTTGGCACAGGCATCGCTGTGGTACTCGACGTCATCACGAGCAATGCAGCGAGACAGAGCAGCACGACGACCAGCGTCGGCTGTGTAAAGTTCGAGCGGATTCGAGTTTGCTTGGTCATCTTGGTGGGTGCTGAAAAGTGGCTGTCTGGTGGCTATAGATCGTCGTGTCGTAGAGAAGACGGGGCAAGCAAGGTAGCTTTTCACAAAGCCTCGCCTTATACAAGACATGAATGGGCTCCATGCATCCTCGTACCCAGAAAAGCGCAGACTCGTCTCACGAGCAGCCCTTGCCTTTGCTCGTGCCGCATTGATCCAGCAGCAGTCGCAAGTCCGATGGGCGTTTAAATTGGCTGCAATACTCAGGAATGACGGTATCGCTACCACGTACGCGGTGGCGCGCCGCAACGCCAACGGTGCACCTTCGGCCAACACCGGACACTCTTCACTTGCCTGCTCGTGTTCCTTTTGCAAGTGCCGAATCCCCGTATCAATGAACGGCAGCCTTGCTCGATATCGAGTTTCCGTTGGGGCTCATATATTTGCAGTACGAAGCCAAGGGGCCTCGATTGTGATATGCACTCTCGCTCATCTCTTCTTCAAAATTTCGGTACGAAAAGAGCAGTTCCCGAGCAGTGTTGCCATTTGTTGGATACGTTGCGAACCAAGGTAAGACTGCGCCTACGAAGCCGTCTCACTTCGTTCCAGCATTCACGATTAGTACGGCAAGACATGCCGTAGACGCAGCGACCTCCTCTTCACGGCAACAACGCTTTGTTCTCCTTTTCAAAATAGCGAGCGAGGTGCGCACGCATCGAACCGATGAATCTTGAGCGTTGGCGGACGCGGAACTTTCGATCGAGTTGCTAAAGCGCGCGATCCAAATCCAGGTTCGAATCCATGGGTCCTGCAAGGGAAAGAGGTCCTTCTGCAAAACGCAGACTCAAAGGGTCTGCAACAACATTTCGTCTTTCTCACCACTCGTCCACGCCAGCATCAAAGTCGCACGCTGCGTCGCCAAAGAGCCCCGACCGAGGGCGGATACAGTCTTCTCGGGTCTGCACCAACATGACCACCGTCTCGCCTACAGACCCTTCGGCCATGAATCCTTGGTCGCCACTTGCAACCAAGCCTGCGGCAACAGTCAGCAGTGGCAGCTGCGACACATGTCTCATTTTAATGCGGCACCCAGAGACAACAGAAGCACAGAGAAGCACACGGCACAACGACCACTTACTCCCCCTCGCCTCACACAAAAGGACAACGTAGACCAATTCCAAATTCAACTCACAACTCAATCTCCATTGGTTGCTTGTATACTTTTGGCGAGCGCGTGGGCGAACAGCCGTGTCATTTGATGGTACAATCGGCCAGATGAGAGCATGATCTAATGGTGGCACGCCATCCCAAAAGCGAAGAAAGGACGACGCTGAATGAGGTCTGGTAGGATCCTCAAATTCAGATGCGAGGGAATAAGTAGGTACGGGGTCAAAGATAGCAGTAGACTGGCCGGTCGGATGCAGCAGTACACCGAGGCCAAAGCGATTGGAAAGAATGGACAGATGAAAGGCAAGACGACGAGCGGAGACGGGCACTGCATGGCAAGTGCCTCATGCTTTGGTGGCCTCTGCCGGTGCAGGAGAGGGAGCGGCAGTGCCGTTACCCTCTTCGGAAGATGCGCTGGGAGCGCTCAAGTCTGTCGTCTTCTCGTGGATGTTGAGAGGTTGGGCGTGGTGTCCCAAGTCAGCAGGAGAGCAGTTGCCCTCGAGATCTCTGTTGATGAAGAAGCTGTCCTGCGCCCATTCTCCACACTGATCCTCGTCCACACCGATGATCTCTGCGGTCTCAGATGCGCGGAAAGGTCCCACGTAGGGAATGTGGTCGATGACGAGCATGATGGCGAAGGTCACACCACCGGTCCATGCGGTCGTGGCAGCGCACCACGCCAATTGGATGGCAAGCTGTACGTAGTGTTGGTCGATCCATCCACCAGGTATCTCAAGGATACCATCATTGTTGGCGACAGAAGCTTGCGCAAACAGACCAGTGCAGAGAAGTCCGACCCATCCCGCTAGAGCGTGTACGGCGAAGACATCCATAGCATCGTCGCATCGCATGGGAGCCTTCAATTGTGTCGCCAAGTTAGAGAAGAAAGCGGAGAGGAAACCGACGGCCAGGGATGCTGGCACACCAATGAATCCTGCTGCTGGGGTGATGGCCACCAGTCCAGCAATGGCACCGGTGCAGAAGCCAACAACGGACCACTTGCGCTCCAATCTCCAGTCCATGAACATCCAGGTGAGTCCTGCCATGCTCGCAGCAGTGTTGGTGGTAGCGATGGACATGCCGGCGCGGAGGTTTGCAGCGAACGTCGATCCTCCATTGAAGCCGAGCCATCCGAACCAGAGGAATGCGGTGCCGAGCACAACGTGGGACACGTTGTGGGGCTTGAAGAGCAGACGCTCAGTTCCGTAGCCGCGACGCTTGCCGAGGTAGTAGCTGATGACGAGACCGGTAATACCCGAGCAGATCTCTACAGGTCCTCCACCAGCATAGTCCAGCACACCCCAATTGTAGGCCCAACCGGCACTGTTCCACACCCAAGAAGCGATGGGGTCATATACCAGCGTAGTCCAGACAAAGACAAAGACGATGAAAGGCCAGACGCGCGCACGCTCGCATGCGGCTCCGATAGCAATGGCGGGAACCAGACTGGCGAACATGCACTGGTACATGGCGTAGACAATGTCGGGAATCTTGTTGTTGGCGTTGGCATTGGGAGCTTGCAGCACATCGATGAAACCGAAATGGTTGAGGTTACCCAAAAACTTGCCTCCCGTAGGTGAGAAGGCGAGAGAGTAGCCCCAGAAGACCCATTGAATGCTTACTACGGCAAGAGCCATGATGGTCATAAGGAGCATGTGAAGCGCGTTCTTTCTTCTCGTCAAGCCAGAGTACAGGTAGCCAAGACCTGGAATCATGAGCCAGACGAGAGCTGTGCAGGTCAAGATCCAGGCCAGATCTCCTGGGTTGTACGCCACTATGCTCTCATTGTTGGAGCCGTAGGTGACGATCAAGTCTGTTCCCTGGCTGGTGAGAAGGGTAGATCCTTCGGTGGCGCCATCAGGAGCAAGCACTGCAAGACCGAGCGGGCACGAGCAAGTCAGTAACTTTGCTCTCATGGTCAGATCTGTCATGACTCGTGTTTGCCGCGCATACAAGCGAGCGCGCTGCCCCCCTCTGCACCATGGCATGCGTGTGCTTGGGCATCGAACCACGACCAATGATGGTCACTCGAAAGACTCACAAACTCCGTACTGATTGGTGGGAAAGCAGCAGCAGCAAGGTGCAAGCGTCAGTATGTGTCCGGATGCCAAGCAGAGCTTCTTGGAGCCTCTCGACTCACAGTGATGTTGACCATCTTGTCAGGCTGGTGATCGGGGGACTGAGAAAGTTGCGGGCGCGCGGGGACGGGGTAGTGGACAGGAATGAGGGGGGGGG